AAAGAAAGTTTGCTTGGCCATGCGAGCTGTATCAGTCCTTTCTAATGATCAGATAGTGGGAAACTTCGAGGTATATAAAAGAATTTAATGCAGTTGGTTGCAGTTCTAAGAAGATGTAAAACCCATGTACGTCCTAGGACGTGGGTGAAGTGTTTTGAACCATTAATATCACCAAGTATTGGGTATATTAGTGCGGTGGGTAATGTTGGCTGTATAAATTATATAAGCCAATCACGATTCAACACGTGGCATGTGAAGGGCAATTTGGGAAGGTAATATAAATCGCCAACCATAGTTAGACACGTGTCAATCCATACTGGTAATAATAATAATGGGTCTATGTAGTACTGGAATGGTCAAAGGATATAAGGTAATGTGGCCTAACGGTTACTCACAAGGTTCAAATTCAAAATTAGGAGGGAAGCCTAACTGCAAACATGGCGTAGTGGAGTTAATTGTGAGAGAGCATGATCAGCGATCATGGAGGGATATTTCGACGGTTAGAAACCCATTTCGACGGTTATCATTGAGAAGTATAAATAGTAGAGGAGGACCCATAAAGAATTCCCAGACTCAGATCCAGAAACTAGTTTTTATCTATTTTATTTTTCTTCCAGTTTTTACATTTCTGTACTTCAAATTCCTGTATTGCACTTTATTCATAAGAGTAGTTTCGAATAGCTTGTTATTGCAAACCTCTACGAAGCTGAATCAGAACATTGTAAGTTTTTCAATTTTACTTAATGAAATGCTGCAATCGTTTTTTATTTAATTGTTATTTACTAAATTCTCCTAAACAAGCCACTAGTAAAATTCTTCTTCATTGAGGCTGAAAGAACTGAAACACAATCGTCTGATAATTGGTTGGTAATTAATCTTCTGTAAGGACTGATTGATCCTTACTGTCACGTTTAAAATTACAATATTAACATTCAAAAGCTAAAAAAGCCAACAACTACATGTACCAATTAATATACTAACTAGTGTACCAATTGAAGATATAGTATAATTTAAGAGATTTTTTATATTTATAATTTGTATAATGAGTGAGGTCAATAATAATGTCATAACTAGTATTGACACACTAATTGACACACCAATTGATGCAAATAGCAGCACTGAAAAGTAAAAAAGGCAAGCCCACCTTATTCTTTGATTAAAGGCAATTAGTTGGTTGAATTGTTTTGTTATTAAAAAATAGAACAATGTTATATGTGTTAATTAATATACTAATTAGTATATTAATAGATAATATGACATAATTTTAGAGGTTTTGAATATTTGTAATTTGTATAATAAGTAAGATCAATAATAATGATATAATATTAATTGATACATTATTTTATACATTAATTAATACATATAATACTACCGTAAAAAAATGATACGAAATTAATGCTAAATACTATAATAAGATCTCCAATCTAGAAAAACAAAAAATTATAATAAGATGGCACATGCCAACACATGTGAGACATGCCAATCTTTTTTCTTTTTCTTTGACTATATTAATTTGTCCACGAGGCTCCGTTGGTTTTTTAGTCAAAAAATGTTAATTATATACTTCCTTTTTCTTTTTCTTTTTTCTTTTTCTTTTTATACTTTTTATATAAAATAGTCATATATAACAGAAGAAACTAGTTGTTTATCAAAAATATTTGAGAATTCTAAAATAAGAGTTCTGGGTGGAGGGCCATCCATTAATGTGATATTTTAATTCTTTTTTTTTTTCTCTATTATTACTATTAGAGCTCAATAAAATGATACGAAATTAATGCTAAATACTATAATAAGATCTCCAATCTAGAAAAACAAAAAATTATAATAAGATGGCACATGCCAACACATGTGAGACATGCCAATCTTTTTTCTTTTTCTTTTTCTTTGACTATATTAATTTGTCCACGAGGCTCCGTTGGTTTTTTAGTCAAAAAATGTTAATTATATACTTCCTTTTTCTTTTTCTTTTTTCTTTTTTTTTAATACTTTTTATATAAAATAGTCATATATAACAGAAGAAACTAGTTGTTTATCAAAAATATTTGAGAGTTCTAAAATAAGAGTTCTCGGTGGAGGGCCATCCATTAATGTGATATTTTAACTCTTCTTTTTTTTCCCTACTATTACCATTAGAGCTCAATTAAAATTTCAAAATTAAAAAATGTGCCATTACACTTGGTTTATTTGAGATAAGAGGTCTAGTTTAGAGTTTGTGGGCTCCAAATAGGCCCACCTTCCAAACTGGTATCATGTGATGTGGATTATTCATATTTAAAAATTTACATTAATCGAATGTTGGGAATTATATGATTGAATTCTATTTATTTTTTAAAAAAATATAATAAATATCTATCTATCTATACTATATATATAACCAAATATAGTTGTTTTGTCAAAAGCTTCCAAATATTTATTCTCAAATTCTCATAATTTTAAAACACTCTCTTTCCTACGTGGCAACCTTCTTTGATTGCCTTTTATGTTTTTTATTTTTTTTTATTTTTTATTTGTTTGATTAATTAAAATTAAAATTAATTTCATTACTTATGGATAAAGATTTAAATTTCAAAATTCCTCCATATAGATGAACATATAAAAACTAAAAATTAATTTTATAATCTACAGATAAAGATACAAAATAAACAATTAATTTTAAAAAAATTAATTTCATAACTTATAGATAATTTAAAATATCTTCCCATAAATAAACAAATAAAAGTTGATAAATAACTTATAAAAATTAATTTCATGGCCTACAAATAAAGATAAAAATTAAATAATTGATTTTTTTTTAAAAAAAACAAAATTACTCTCTCTTTTTTTCCCCCTCATTTCGTACTTTAATTAATTTCATTATAGATAAACATATAAAATTTATAAATAATTTATGAAAATTTATTTCATGACCTATAGATAAGGATAAAAATTTTAAAAATTATTTAAAAATAATAATTTCATGACTTATAGATAAATAAACATATAAAAATTGATAAATAATTTATAAAGATTAATTTCGTGGCCTACAGATAAAGATAAAGATAAAGATTAAATAATTGGTTTTCAAAAAATTAAAATAATAAAATTTAGATAAAGATATGATTTGTTAATCTATATATCTATCAAAAACATATATATCTAAATCTTTATTTTGATTTACTCATTTTTTGTTTTTCTTATCACATATTATCTTTTTTTATTTTAAATTTTTTATCTTATGAAATGCTCTTATCTATAACTTCTTATTTCCTATTAAATTCTTAATCTTCTCTTAATAATTTTTATTATTCGTTATTATCTACCAAATGATAAAGATTATAAAAAAAAAAAAAAATTATTGCTCTGAATGAGAATAGTATTAATAATGAAATAATAAAAGCTACATGGGAGAAGGTAGCACAAAAATCTCACAAAATTAATTTTCTTTACTATATTTATAAAAAGTAATAATTTGAGATTCTTTCTATTGGTTATTAAAAATAATTTGCATTAGATCATTGTTATGTTTTTTTTAAAAATTTTTTTTATAAGGTTGTCATTCGTTATAGTATTTCTTCAATTCCATCTCTAAATTCTCTTTTTGAAATTTTTGTTTTTTCAATAATTAAGTTTAGAATCAATTTCTTATCAAATTTGTTTTCTTGATCCTTATTTTATTGAAGGATCGAGACGAATAAAACTTTCATATAATATATGAAATTAATGAATATAATACAAAGATGATAGAGAAGTACTATATATTGGTCAATATTTCTATGTTATTATTAGTTGATTTGCTAGATTATACTATCAATTTAGAGCTCATATGATTTAATTCAATGTTCATGACTCTATTTGTATTTGACCATTTTTTCGTTGAGTAACCGATATATTTTTTTTTGGGTATATAATGATTAAAGCTATCATTTGTTATATTTTTTTCAAGTACAATTCAAATAATTTTTTATCATTTTTTTATAAATAAAATGGATTAAAACTATTCTTTTATATAATTTTTATAATACTATGACATTCTTATCTTGATTAATTTTTTTTAAAATGACGTAGAAACTATGCAAGTATTATTCAAACTATGGAAAATGATTTATACTTTGATATGATATGAGTGTGTCATTGATAGAGGAAATCAAAGATAGATAGTTGCTAATATAATCAATTAATGATTTGCTTGAGAAGTTATTTTTATAAGCAAGGCAACAAACTTAAATTAAACTTTTTTAAAAATTGCTTATGAATTATAATTAAAAGTTGATATTTATTCATAATTTGATCCCACAATAATAATATACACCACTGATTTAAAAGTCCAAGTAAATTTATGATAACTTTTCTGAACTTATAGAATTTATCTCTTTTAATGTTTTGTTTAGTTTGATACAAGTTATTTATGTTATCAAGTGATTGTGATACTATTATTTTAAATAATTTTTATAATTAATAATTTCTTATGCATATCAAATTTTATTTTAAAATTTTGTGGGTTAATTATTGTTAACATCTACCTAGATGGCTTAATATTATGGCTTGTCGCTATTAAGATATAATTTAAGATTAAGATGATTTATTTATCACACAAAATATATATAGTCTATTTTTCCGTGCATCGTACGGGTTACCGCTAGTAATTTTAAGAATAGATTGTGATTATTTATTTATTTATTTATTGATATAGTACTATAATAAAATCCAAAACAAATTTACAAGAAATAAGACTCATAGGTAAGAATATTTGAACTATTGATCCCCTATAGAAGAAGTATAAGAGTTTTGGCCAACGAATTAGTCAACGAGGTAACCCTTCACGGCTAAACCAATAATAATAATAAAATTTGTTGATCATAATAACCTCTTGTCTCATTTAATGGTGACTAAACTGGAATTTTTAAAATTTTAAATAATAACCTCATGCCTCAAGGTTTGGATAAAGAATTTGAGAAGTGATTTGCGAAAAGAAAATAAGAATAAAAATGTGAATATATATATATTTGTATATCATGTTTCCCTTTTTTTTTTTTTTTTTTTAACCTTCTTAAATTTCTAAATTCTAAATCCAAACTCAATCTTAAAGTTGAGGTCCCGATATAAAATTGGATAAACACCAAAAACAAAGACGTTGTTATTAATAGTACATTGCATCCAAATCTTTATCAATAAACAATTCTTGTTTATACGTGATCAGCTCAGCAACTCATAAATCAGAAACAACACAAAGCAGCAACAGAGAGCAAGCACACCATAGAAACTGCACAAGTAACAAATAATGGAAATCAGTTTAATAATTGTCTTAAACAAAGTATCATCGATTAGTGTAATGAATCATAAATTTAAAAAATTATTCAGTCTTGCAAAAACAACACGGCCTGTATGAGTGTTTTGCACTTAAGCTTGCAAGTAGATAGAGTAGGAAAAATTAGGGCTCCATTTATTTTAATACAATCATATTTGATCATGAAGTGCACATCTGTCTGTCATTGAATCATGGGCTATGGACTATTCACATAAAACCAGTTTACTATATGGTGAAAGCCACTTTGTTCAAAGGAGAATCATAATACTAACTCAAAAAAGGTACTATCGTCATGGTGGCATATAATTTCCTGTTCTCTAATCTCTCTGTCTTGATGTATTTTAAACTATTTAATTATGTAAAAATTTTAAGATATGAATTTCGAAACATGATCTAATATTTTTAGGAGTAAAATATCAACAAGAAACAAAAATATTTGGAAATAGCGAATCCTCTACTAGAAAGAACAATAGTAGTGCGATCTTTTTGCAATTATTGTCAAGTCGTAGCCATTTTAGATTCCGATCTCATATCCCCATTCTCCTTCCCAACCTTTTGTTCCACCGTTTTAGTACTATTATGTTGTCATAATTTGACTTAAATCCAATTTATTTATTAAACTATTATGAGACTTCAACTTTAAAAATAACAATTTGTTTTTAATTGAAATTGTATGAACCTGGCAACACTAGAAAAGTGGAATAGGGAATGTTGCCATCAATTGGCTTTAAGATAATTTCTTCCACAATGTTGGATACAGGGATAACCATGGCAAACAATCTCATAGCATACGTTCTGACAAGTACACAAATGTTGGAACAAATTTGGACGGGCTAGAAACATTTATGTCCCTTGAACATAAAAGCCTAGAATTAAAAACACGATCTAATGATGTGAAATATACTCTCAAGCCCCCCAACAAGTTCAATTATATACAAATATGTCGAACAATATTAAAAATAATAATTATAATAATAAATAAAAACCCCAAATGGATTTTGTGAGCTGTGATTGAGGCCTCGAGACTGAGGCGCGAAATTGCCTCGAAATGCAATTTTTTTTTTTTTTTTTTTTTTTTTTTTTTTTTTGTGTTAATTTGATCCTTGTATTTTTAATTATATTGATTTTGTCACATTGTGTTAATTTAGTCAAATTAATAATATTTATTTAGAAATTAGATAGAAATTAACAACAAAATAGTCCACTGAGAATGGAATGAACCATTTTAAATTGAACACCAACCTCCCAATCACTTTAAGAGAGTAATTAAATTATTTTGCCTCAACATGATTTATAAAGAAGTGTTATCAATTGAATTAAACTAACAAAATATAAAAAATTTAAAAGTGAAATTGATGCAATTAGATCATCTCCAATGGTTCACCAAATGTTTCACCAAATTTAAATTTGGTGAAAAAATTTACTTTTTGCTGATCTAATGGTCCACCAAATCTGTTCATCAAATCCAAGATATCTCAAATCCTTCATTAGATTGAGGATCGATCTGTCTTTCATCAAATCATTGTTCATACCCGTTTGATTTTCACTACTGGATGTCCCTTTGGATGACCATCTCAAGGCAAAAGTTTGTGAAAAATTTACACTGACCGGTCTACCGAACATCTGCCTGATCGACTGGTGTTCTAATGAAGCTTCAAAAACCTCCGTTAAAGCACTTGATATCAAATAAAAATTTTACTCAAATTTAATGAAAATTTTGATGTACCATTGGAGATGCCTTTAAAACTATAAAGATTAAATCGAAGAGACAAATTACTATAATTATGGATGTAATTTGCCCGAAATCCCAATATTGAAACCATCATATATTCAAAAGAAGAACGGTTGAAAAATAATCACTTTGCTTGGTTCTCATTTTTTAAAAACAGTTTTCAGAAAATTCTACACTCTTATTTTTCATTTTTTTTATTTTTACCGAATTTTTTTAATATTTTATGCAAATTTTTTACTTTTTAGACACGCCTAACATAAATACACCTAAAAAGTAAAAAAATTATAAAAAAAATCTTTTAAAAATTCACTAAATACCAAAAATACAAAAAAAAATACAAGAATTTAGTACATTTTTTGTATTTTTATGTATTTCTTAATTTTTTAAAATATTTTTTCACAATTTTTTTACTTTTTAGACACATCTAAGTAAGGTGCATCTAAAAAAGTAAAAAAAAAATGTTTAAAATTTTAAAAATATTCACTAAAAACAAAAAAAAACGAAAATAAAAAAACTTAGTTTTCAAAAAATTTAATCCAGAAAACTCAAACAAAACACAGTGAATGTTTTTTGGCAACTTTAATTCGAAATTAAAGTGAAACTCAACCACCGGTTGAGGTGGGTTTGAGTGGTTTTGTATTATCTTTAGTGAGAATATTGCAATATAGAAATAATGAGCCGAAACCATTAACTTGTAAATGAGAATTATCTCATAAAGTGGGTATCAATAGAAGTTGGGCTTGGGCTTAGGTTTGGACTTAGACTTAGTCTTAGTTTTAGTCTTATGTCTTAGTCTTAGTCTTGGTTTGAACTGATCTAAGTTTGTTTATGTGCATGTGCATGTTTTAAACTTAGTATTGGACATGGGTCAGATTGTGCTATGCTGAGCTGGGCTTGTCTTGTCTTGTGCATATGTTTTAAACTGGATTTGGATTGGGTTGTGACCCAACACCCATATTCATTTTGCGACCTATCTAATTGCATTATTTAAATAGTTTTTTATATATATATATATAATGCAAGGGAGGTTTTCAACTTTTGTAACTCACATCTTTTAGTGATGGAGTTGATGATCATATTATGCAGATGGGAGTTTCGCACCTTGTAACTTTAGCCCTATGACTAAAGTTGATGGTCATTGATGCTAAGTTTTATGATATCCTTCATAGTTAAGATCCCTTTCCTACAAGTATAAAAAGGGCTTTTCCTCTCCAACTTAGAGGGATGAGATAGAAATATTTTTGAGATGAAAAATTTATAATTTTCTTTAAATAAAGTTGGAGAAGATTTTTTATACCAAAGCAAATTTTATATCTTCTTTGTGCTAGTCCCTTCTTTGGTTCTTATTAGAAAGAAAGTGCTGCTATTGTTAGGTTCACCGAAACTGTTCGGAAGATACTTCTGTATTAACTGGTTTCGACCGTCGTATCTTAAAAGACAAATGTCGGCGTATCTCTATTACCCATCGAGAGGTTGTAAATCTGTTTTAAAGAAATTGTAGTATCAAATAGGTTTCGATTTATATATCTTATCTTTTGTTCTTCAAACTTTTAAATTTGAACTAGTTCTTGCATATTATTTATATGTTCACGGAAATCCATCAAATAATTGTATTATAGTTTATTTATATATTTTTAGTTGTCTAATTTATTCTGTATCTCATTCTTTAATAAATAAATAAATAAAATTATTTTGTCATTTCTACTTATTTTATTTTATATATTTTTCTTATATTGTTATGAAAAAATACTAATAAAAACCACTTTCAATTAAAATAAAAAATAAAAAAATAAAAAAAAAAAATTGGGTAATAATTACCCCTAATAGTATGATTAAAGCAAGCGTTGACCAAAAGTGGGAGAGATGGAAGAAAACATACCAGGCTTTATTCTGAAATGGAGAGCGAGAGTCGTCCTGTAGGAGGAGGACGTGTTGAGGTAGTCGAGGGGGGTACGGATTAAAGTAATTTTGATAGTTGGTGGGACTGCCACCACCGTGAGGTTGGTATGGAGCCCGACCAGGAGGACGATGGGGTGGTGGCTGCGGCGACGGTTGGGGTAGTGCAAACACTGGTGGTGGAGGATGTGGCCCATGGTGGATATGGGCCGTGTGCTGAACTGTACTCATTGCTCTCTCTCTCAAGTCTCAACAACCTTGTTCTTCTGATGTTTCAGATTCAGAATATAACTCCCTCAACTCAATTCGATTGAATAATCCTCCTAAAGAACATATGTTTATATGTTTGTGAAGTACTTAAATAAGCATGGTGGTGGTGATGAGTGTTTAATAATACAATAATAAATAAGCAGGTTGGAATGTTCAACAGAGTTTTTTAAATTCTAAATATTATTTATTTTGAATTCTTTTAAGAAGATGGTTAAAAATTTATTTTAAGTCAAATTATTTCTTTATTTTTTTTATATATTTTTAAAAAAAATAAAAAAAAATAAGCTTATAATCAATTTCTCAAAACATTTGTTTATTTGAGTGCGTAATTTCTTAGCACCACCACCTAACGTTGCTTTCCTTCACCAAAATCCACGCAAACAAATTTCATGAAGTCAATCTTCAACTCAAACACGTTAATTTATTCACAAATTTTATTCAATTTCAACTTATGAAAATTTCAATCATAAAAAATTTATATCAAGTGAGATTGACACAGTATGACTAGTTTTATATATTTAAATTTTTTTATAATTATTTTACTGTAGCATAAAACTGCTTTGACGTTTCACTTTAACCATCGAAGGGTGATTCCGTGGGCCATACCAGCGCCCAATGAAACAGTTACTATGGTTTTTTTGGATAGTTAGTTGGAGTTAATTTAATTTGCTAAAATATAAAATAAATTAAAAATTAATAAGATAAAACGTTACATTTAAATTTTAATCATTTCACTTCTTCTCTCACAAAATTACAAAGTCAAAAGTTCTTTTCAAAATTTTTTTAGTCAAACCAAAATAATTAAAAAATCAAAAAATTAGACTAAAAACATTCTCCCCAAACTAAAACTATATACGTCGTTTTGGACCAAACAGTGTCCTAAAAACATTTTGCTCAAACCCAATTATCCATTATATAAATTATTGTTGTTTCCCCAGGATTATGCTTTTCGAGAGCACATACAGAGAATTTTTTTTGTTAATTTTCTTATAACTAAAATTATTATCAACTTATTTGATGAAATTTATTTGAAGTTGAAAGTAAATAATAAAAAAATAAAAATTAAAAGTATCTTTTCCCATCATTCAAATTTTCACTTTCAATTTATTTAAGTTATTTATACTTAATAAGTTATGAGTAGAAATTGTAACAAATAATTTCACACAACATGCCAAATTAAAATAATTAACTCATTTAAGCTTCACCAAACAATCCCTATTTCTAGTGTTCACAGTATAGGAAAATGATATTCTATGGCATAATAAAATGTGGTGGTGTGATCAATTGTAATAACCTGACCCTCGTGCATATTTTCTGATATATTTTCAGATCCTATTTTGTGTTTCTGAATGCTTATTGTGAAACCCTATGAGAATTTAAGGCTAAGTGAACTTCATAATTATGGGTGCCTATCTGTCCAACAAGAAACGTATCTATTGCATTAGAATGTTTGAACATAAATTGGAAGCCTTAGAGGCTTAATTATCTAAAATTGAGTTCATATATGTGATCAGCATAATTTTTAGGCAATATTAAGCGTTTCTGTGAAATTTCAATTTCAGATGCTTAAACGATTGATTTTCGTCTTTATTCAATATATATATATATATATATGTATGTATGTCTATGAGAAGCCTCAAGACTTAGACACTTCATATAACATATGTCCTGGGAGAAAAGGAAGAAAGGCTAAGATCAAGGCAGAGTAGAGAGAAATTGAAGCCAAGGTAAGTTGGATTTCCCTAACCCAATCCTCTCCCTCAATTTTGAAATAGGAAGCTTTTGATGTTGTATAAAATCTTGGATGTGTGTGTGTGTTGAAGACTTGGCATGATAATTCTACTACATGTGTATTTTGGACCAATTCAAGTTATCTACCCATGCTTATGCCATGTTTTTGTATATCTATACATGTGTGTGTGTGAAGTTAAGAGCCTCAAGAATGAAATTATGTTAATGAGCTTCAATTATGCCATGTTCTTATCCAAGTCAATTAAGTTGTGTTCATGAGTTTAATATGTTGTGTGTTGTACCTTGATTTACATGCTTTTTGAACCACGAATGAACCATGAATCAGCCATAAAAAGCCCCAAGTTAAACCCCTTAAATATGCACCAAGGGTTGAAATATTGCAGAATTTCGGATTGGGAAAATACAGAATCGCTGCATGTGCGGGAGTCACTGCCGCACGTGCGGGAGCCAATCGCCGCACGTGCGGGGGTTGTGGCCGCACGTGCAGGAGAAGAACAAAATTGGAGTTTTGATTCTGCCTAAAAGGCACGTGCGGGCCGCACGTGCGAGACCAGCTGCCGTACGTGCGGGGATCCTAACCGCACGTGCGGCGCATGTTGAAAAATACGAGTTGCTCCGTTTTGCGTGTAGGACCCTCTAATGTTGTCGAAATGTATGTTTGATGCCTTCTCGATATTGATAAATTCCTTCGAAGCAAAGCGAAATAGAAAGTAATTTGATAAGGGAAATGAGCTAATATGTAAGTTTGAATGTGTGCAGGGCACACTTCGGGAGCAACAAGCACGTCGTTACAACACTGTGAGTAGTAGTACTGTTATATGCTTCAAATGTAGCTAATGATTGTCATAAGTATTATGTTCATGCATAAAATGCAACTATGTTATGTTTCAAAATATGTAAAGAAAGAAATGGGAAAGATGAAAAACATTCATTCAATAAGACTCTGAAACCAAGTTATTCGGTTATTGTAATATGAAACAAAGTGCTACGCAGAACTAAGTGCTACGATGTAAGCCACCTCTAAAATCCGTGTGAGACACCTCTTGAGTTCATACAAGCATGTCCAAGGGCTTAATGCCAACTTACTCAAGGGCTTAGTGCCACATGATTCAAAGGCTTAATGCCAACTTATTCAAAGGCCTCGTGCCACTATGTTCAAGGGCTTAACGCCACCATGTTTAAGGGCTTGTGCCATTACGTTTAAGGGCTTATAGCCATCATGTTTCAAGATATCATGTTGCAAGCTACCATGTTTCAAGAATGAGACAAGGCCGTCATGAAATTAACACAGATTCAAACCAACTATGTGTGCACCTTTTTATGCTTTGATGTATTCTATTTCAAGTCAAGCATTATTTTATTTATGTATTACTATTCACTGAGCTTGGCTCACTCTGTGTTATGTCTGTTTCTGTAGGTAACCAACTAGGTGGTCAGTCCTAGCCCTGACACCTGTTTTCTTTTGTCAACCTTCGAGGGTCCAGGCACTGCACGAAGCCATTTATTTTTGTAAAGTTTGTTAAGATAGTGGCTTACGTTTGATTACCCATTTAAGGTTGAATGTATAGAACTTTAATGATTTCCGTATAAGCCCATGATGGGGCTGGGACTGTATGTATGTTTGTATATAACCGATACTACGAGATATAGTTTGGAACTTTACCTATTTTCTATGGTGCTTATGATGCATGTGAGGTCCTGGCATTTAAATGTAGCTCAATGGAGATTATATGTATCGTTATTTTCTTATTATATGCTTCCAATAAGGCCCCGTATGTTATATACAACAGGTTAAATGTTCGTTTTCGAACGGGTCATGCCCAAACTTGTAGGGGCGGGTTTGAGGACGTGACATCAATTTATGGAGTTAGTTTTGATTAGAAATTTCTGCCTCAAAATAATGTCAAATATGCCAAAAATTGTAGTGTGTATGGTATAATAGAAATCGTAATTCCTAAAGGTGTGGCCAAGGTGATTGATAGGATTCAGGCATCATTTCTTTGGGGGAGCTCCGATCTAAATAGAAAGGTGCATATGGTTAAATTGGGGGAAGTGACAAAGCCAAAAGAGCAAGGAGGGTTAGGTGTTAGAAAGACTAGGGAGATGAATGAGGCTCTGCTATTGAAATGGTGGTGGAGGTATGGGGTGGATGAAATGCTCTGTGGAAACAAGTGTTGGTTAGCAAGTATGGTTCTTACAGGGGAAGATGGCTGCCTGAGTTGATCACTACAGATGAAGGGAAGGTTTCTAGGATTTGGAGTGATATTTTGCATGTAGTAAGTTCTAACTATCCACTATATGATTTTTATGTAAGTAATATAAGGCTAGAGATTGGTGATGGCTGTAGAATTCAGTTTTGGAATGACAGGTGACATGTGAATATTCTAATTAAAGAGGAGTTTCCTAGGTTGTTTAGCCTATCCATGGACAAGGACGGATCTCTGAATGAGTTTGTTCAAAGAAGGCAGAGTTCTGGGGAGTAGGTGTTCAACTTTAGAAGACCCGTTTTAGCTTGGGAGGAGGAGGGGGTTATTAGATTACAAGGGATGCTGTCAAATGCATCATATTATAGTTCAAATAGCCATGATACATTGATCTGGGGGGCTGCTGTAGACACCCCATTTTTGATCGACCTTAAGACTCAGACGTCATCGATTGAGCTCTCGGTGATGACACATGTTGTGCTCGTTCTGAGGTTGCGGAGTCTCGGCTGAGAGCCTTACCTCCAGACTTCGGGACTCTTTTGTGCTTCGTCTCGATTTGCGAACTAGGTCCTGTTTTCTCCGTTTTCTCTTCCCGAAGGGAGAGAGAGGTCTCGTAGACTATCTCTCAGTGGCCGTAGGCTACGTTTCGTGGTCGTAGGTCATTTTTCCCGTTTGGAGACCAGTTTTTGATTTTTTAGAGCCGTCGGCCGTGTGCCTCGGTTCGGGACCGCTTAACTACCTCCGTTTGCTCCGGTTTTCGGCACACACCTTATTTCCTCTCCTTAGAGGAACACTGTGGCCTGGGAGACCACCTTCGAGGTCGCATGCCACTTCCGGCACTTAACAGTCAGTTTTCGGGGCTCCCGGCTGTGGGTTTTGACCCCCGAACCCTCGTTTTGCATCGGTTAGGGTTCAATTTTGGCATGGACCCTATTTTCATTGTTCGGAAGGTGGTACAAGGGTGGGAGATCACCTTTTCTTCTTGGAAACCAGCTTTCTCCTTGGAGACCACTTTTCTCTCTCCTCCAGCCAGTTTTCTTGGCAGGTAAGTGGTCTCCCTCACTTTTGGGCCATAATTTCTGGTCTCCCATACCACCATTGTGTTGTACTCATCTGGGAGGCCACC